ATAACTAGATATTGCAGAATGGGAAGAAATCATTCCAAAGAAAAAGGGGGTCGGGGAGATAGTTCTGGGGCCTAAGCCCTGCCTGGCAAGTGCGAGGTCCTGAGTTCAAGCCCCAATACCTCCCTACCTCCTCAAAAAAAAAAAAAAAAAAAAAAAAGAAAAAGAAAAAGAAAAGGACGAAGAAACTAGGATGGGTGAAAGGAGAAAGGGCAGCAGGGAAAAGGGGGAAAAAATGCAAGTTAGTCACACTTAAATGTTAGTGTCCCACAGGTCATGAAGAAAGAAGGTCTATGCTAGTATCAATTGGAGAAATTTTTATGCCCATATCTTGTACCCTGAGCAACTACTTTAAAAATAGCATGCAATGTATTAACTATTGTTATTCTTTTACTACTTTGTAATGAAATTTTGTTTTACCATAAAATAAAAGTCTCCCTTTGTTCATAAAGTCACCTCTGCATTTGTTCATGTAAAAATCCCACCGTTTCACTGTATTTGTGCTGTTTGGACATACTGGGTGCCCACCAGGCTATTTCCAGGGACTCAGCTGTCCCCTTTCTCTTCTTTGACAGAAAAGACAAAGAACCTGATTAGGGTTTCTACACCATTACTCTTAAAAATAAAAGCCAACAGTTAGAGTTATCTGTTACTGTTAGCAGTCGCACACCTCTCCTGGGACCTGCCCCTCCTGTCCTCGCGACATTCCCACCAGTGTCACCTTGCTGAAGCCCACCCATGCTTCGAGCTGCGGTTAATGAGCCTTAGCCATTTCCAACCATGTAATCTACCACAGCCCAGCTGCAGAACTTTGCCTTCCCCACAGCAGTCCCTTGCGTACCTGCACTGCCCCCACCTGGGCCATGGCTTCTCGCTCCCTCTCTCTGTCCCTAGGGATGTCTTCCCCAGAGCTTTCATGTAAGTGGGCTTACAGCCGATACAATCTCTGTGACTGGCTTCTCGCATGAGCACATCAGCCTCCCTTGTACTTGAGAAGGAGAGGAGGTAGTGTCCTTACCACAGATACCCACACACAGGGTGCTCCTGATTCCTTTTCATTGCCGAGTAGTATTCTACTGTTCGGATTCACATATTGTTTCTCTGTGCATCTGAATTGTTTCCATTTACTTTGTTATTATAAAGCATGCTATAACAAACACTTACAAAGTCATTATATCAATGTGAGGTTCCACCTCTCTTGGGTAGATACCTAAGAGTAATTACTACATGTAACATTTTTTAAATGCCAAGCTATTTTCAAAGTGGCTACATCAATTTGCCCTCCACCAGCAAAGTAGGAGGGGCGCTATTCACCCACTTTTTGCTCTGCGGAAGAGTGATCCCTATCAACCAGGTCTGATGTGGGCTGGAAGATCGATCTCCAGAACCAAAGCTTTCTACACTGGGAATCTACCTTCATTCCATTTCACTATCCGAATGTTTCATAGTTTTTAAAACCTTGTTTTCAGTCTTCTTACCTGATTTACTACAGCAGTTTTGCATGCTCGCTCTTGTGTGTTTGTGTGCTATGTCCTACATGCTGCACTCACGTAACCTTCTACAGAATTTAATTTTTAATTTTCGTTGCTGCAGTGCCAGGAATGCAACCCAGAGCCACGTGCGTGCTAGGCAAACACTCGACCTCTGAGCTGCACCCCAGCCTGAAATTTAAATTTAAATGTCAAGCCTCTCAGAGGGGGACTTTTGTTTGTGACCAGCACAAAACACGGCATAAGGTAGGCAGCCCTTAAGCGTACTTCCGGAACAGCTGCCGCCGGTGTGCTTGCCTGCTCCAAATGTGTACTAATTTCCACGTCAGCTTGCTTTCTTAAAAAGGCCACATACTTCTCATAAGACCTGCTCATGGAAAAATGAGCCAGCACTCAGGAGGCTAAGGTAGGAGGATCGCTGCAAGTTCAAGACCAGCCTGCACTACAAAGTGAGCTCCAGGCCAGCCTGCACTGCATAGAGAACTTGTTTTTTTAAGAAAAAGAAAGAAAAGAAAAAAATGACACAAAATCTTAAGAGCCTTAAAAAGTACCCTGGGTGCTGGGCATGGTGGTATATACCGATAATCCCAGCACTTGGGAGGCTGAGGCAGAGGCCAGCGTGGGCTCCACCGAACTGTAGGGGTATGTTCCAACATTTTACTTTGTGTGGGAGCCCTGTGGCTGGAGCAGAGAAGTGCGCTGCCCAGGGTCCCTGCATGCACTCACCAGGAGCCCAAGGGTCAGCACCCCCCTGGACTCTGGGTGGTGAACAGGCTTGCTGCGAGGCTGGGGGAGTGTCAGACAAGAGGGCTGGCCTGGGGGAGGGCCCTGCATGCCAGCCCTACATTCCACCCACAGGAAAAGAAGACCTGAGGCCTGGCATGAAGCGACCCATCAGTGCTCTCCAAGACTACATGGATGGGCAACCTCTAGGCTACTGAGAGCCAGGAGAGCCCATCCCGGTGCAGGCAGGCCAGGAGAAAGGGGGACTTGAAACGTGTGGTGGCCGTAGCCTGGTGCCTGCAGACAGTGGTCTCTGTATCGGCAGTGATGGAGCTGGGAGGGAAGTGCCAGGCAGCTGATCAAGTTCTCGCCCTGCAGCAGGCCTGGTGGTCACAGCACTGTCTAGTCCAGTATGGGCTGGACCATGTATGAACCTGTGGCCCTGGGGATAGAACTGGATGACACAGCGCTTTGGCTTCACTGTCTGCGAAATGGAGTTATGACAACTACTTCCCAGGGTCACAGCAAGGACTCACTTGGACCATCAGAGCACTCCGGCCCATGATCAACTCAGCGGCCTGGGCCCCTGTCCTGGTCAGAAGGGGCTGTTTGCAGCTGGAGCTCCAGGTCTGAAGCTCTGTATAACGTGAGCAAGAAGTTGTCTTCTTTTGGAGTTTCGTTTCTTAGAAGAACAGCATTTTCGAAGTCACCGTGTTCCCACCGTCGTCAAGCGCCACCTCAGCCCCGTCTGAAACACTTGGCTTCCACATGCGCTCTCCCACTGCACACATGGGGACTTGGGTCCCCACAGCTAGGGTCTAGGCTGTCCTCCGAAAAGAGGAAGGGCTCCTGCCTCCTGTGGCTAAAACTTCTCCCTTTTAGGCTGGCTCATGGGGTTTTATTATTATTTCATTTCAGGAAAAGGATTCAGTATTTTTGAAAACCCCTGTAACAGAAATTTACTAAATATATTAGAGTGATAGATAATCGAATCAAATCTTTAAAGATAAAAATGAACTTTATATAAAACTTCAAATTATTTAACTGGCTAGACAAATTTATAAGAGACAGTTTCTGAAGACTAAAAGGAAAGCTCAGTAAAATACAAATCTAAGCCCCTTTCCAAAGAGAGTGGAGTCGCTTCGCATTTTTCTAACTGGTATGAGTGGGTATCGACAGCAGTATTCCAGAATTCCTTTAGAAAGAATTGGGGAAACGGGAATCACATCTTGGGCAAGCTTTCGTGCTTGTCCCTATCTGTTTAGGAAACAGAGTATTTCACAAAAGAACCACATTCCATGAAAAGTATGTTTATTTTGGCTTAAACAAAACCATTTCCTCAGGAAAGTCTGATTCAGATAAAGCATATAAGGAAATTCAAAATCGGCTCCTCGTAGGGAACCGAATGCTGCATTACTTTCTGGATTCCGTGAAGATATTTTTAAAAGTAATTCTACCATGTTGGCTCATGCCTTTTAAACTCAAATATATGTCAACTAGACATGCTTCGTGTTTTTTACTGCCTAGTGGATGCCACATCCAGTTATTCCTGCATTTTCATTGCTTACTTTTATATGCATACACGCACACATGCCTGCATACTTGTTTCTTTACAAAAACTCTGGTCTTTGCTTATGTTTTCAGATTCCAGATAAATCAACAGGGAAGGGCAGCATGGATTAAGAATGGAGACCTGGGGCAGCCGTGGCCGCACACAGCAGAAATCCTCGCGTTCTGGAGGCTGCAGCAGCAGAATGAGTGCCACGAGTTTGAGGCCAGCCTGGACTACAGAGTGAAACCCTGTCTTCAAATAAACAAGCAAACAAATCAGCTGGCCCCCAAGTGCCAGTCCCAGCTCACCCATCACTCCATGACTCCACAGGTTACTCCGCATCTCTGTGCTCCCTTTTCCTTATCTGTATCCTGGGAACAGTCGTGCCTCTCTCACCCGGCCTTGATGGTTATAGGAGCTCATGTATCTGGAAGGCGCTTGAACTGTGACCTGGTCCGCAAGCATGGCCCGCAGGAAGTGTCAGGCATGGTTAGCGACCCTGCTGCCGCGGCACAGTCAGGGCATGCTTCACGTGGTTAACAGTCTAGCTGACCTCAAGTCGCCATGGTCAGTGATCAGAATGTGACTGCAGCTAAATATATTCAGGTCCTGCTGGTCCTGGTCCACACAGTCTTGGGCCCAGAGGGCCTGGGTAGCACCGCTTTAACACCTCCGTCTTCCTGAGAAGAGTCGGGGCCGGCGGAGGCCGTCCGCTGTCCCTTGCAGAGCGCACCAGCAGGGCACAGCACGGCCAGGCTGTCGCTGCTTCCCAGGACTCCGCAGGTTCCCGCGAGGCCAAGGCTCCATTACAGCGTCGATTAGCACTGCCAAGGTGGGCCCATCACTGGGCATTCTGTGCCAGACAGAAAGCTGTAACAAATACAAAGCCCTTCCATGTTCAGTGCTGTGGCTGACACAGAACAGAAGACCGTAAACTGTTCTTGCTCTAGAACTAAATGTTCTTATTTGCTGTGCTGATAGGAAATGCTTTTCAGTTGGGGTGCTTCTTTTTTCTCTCATCCCAATGATCACTTGAAATATAACCTCCAGTTAAAATAACTATAAAAAATCACCCTGAGGTATAAAATGTATAAAAACCTGCACCTTTAGAACAATTTATACAGCAGGAGATACACACACAGGACATGCTCCAGATCATCAAAATTTTATTTAAAATGATAAAGCACTGAAAAATAAACAATATCATATGCTTGCACTGTTATTGTGTAGCGTGAAAAACTGCTTTTGGTAACATTGAAAATCATTAGGTTTTATCCCAAAGTACGCGGGGCAGCCCTCTGGGTCCGCCTGGTAAGTAAGCGCTGCTCTCCAGCGCAGGCTGGGGCAGGAGGCAGGCTGCTGGCTTCCGGGCGAGCCCAGCCCTACTCGGAATGGCGGTGCCTCCTCTTGCTGTGGCTCTCGATGGCTCTCCTCAGTGCTTCATCCTGGATGAGGTCGGACATTTGCATATCTGTGTGGCTGCAGCCAATCTTAGGGCAACTGTGAGGGAGAAAGGACATCAAGTCGGCTCACTTAACTTCAGGGCCTGAAGCACATACTTCTTGCACATTAAAGTACTGAAAGGAAAGACTGACTCCTGCCCCTCGCCTGCCTGGGGGCCTGGACCCTGGCAGCAGCACGTGAGCAGGGCCTACCAGGCTTGCTTCTCAGGGCAGACAGGCATGGCTGTGTCATCCAACACCGATGCTCTCCTACAGCCGGGGCCGAATTGCCCTGGGCGGGCACAGAGGGGAAGCAAGGTCAACGCTGCAGCCAGGTGCCGCCACCATCCAGGTCAGCCGGCTTCCCAGAAGGGAGAGGAGGCCGACAGGGGCTGTGGAAGGACAGCCAGGCGGTGGCAGAAGCTACCAGGAAAGGTGCTGAATGCTCGGAAGGAAGGTGAGGGCCAAGGGGCTGTGGGCTTTATTGTCAATATGAAGAGAAATCATTGGAAGCTCAGAAAACCTGAGTCTGGCTGCTTAACGGATAACAAGGCTGGGCAGCGGAGTAGAAGGGAGCAGGGAGAAAAGTCTGGTGGCCTACAGAAGTTCAGGAGGGGACAAGGGCAGCAGCAGCCACCAGCTCTGCACAGTCGTGAGTGTGGGACCTACGTGGCTTGCTAATGGAGAGAGGAGAGCAAAGGAACAGGAGCAGGGGCAGGTGGTCAACCAGGCACGCTGCACTGTGACGGAGGACGGGGGCAGCTGGCTGGAAACAGACTCAGCCAGGCTGGTGGACCTCCTAGGCGAGAGGCTGAGTGGGCCGTGGGGACTCAGTGGAAAGCCTGCAGCGGAGGCGACGAGCGAGTGAGTGAGTCATCCCAGAGGCTGGGACTCAGAGCCACGCTCCTTCTGGTTCAGATGTGGTCTCCTCTGAAGGCAGTGGGGTAGATGAAGTCACCTGATTTCTTCCCAACATGAAGAGATCTAGCGAGAGCGAGTCCCCGGTGTGGAGTCAAGCTGACTTAGGCCTATCTTCTCTCTACCTTGGACTCATCAACTCACTAGTTCTCAGGGTGACAGCAACACTGCTCCGTACTGCGCACTTCCTTCAGCAACTTGTGACTCTCACTTGTTTCTATGGAGCATTTGTTTCCAGTACTGGGGACTGAACCCAGGGTCCTTACATTGAGCTAATTGTCAGCCTTTTTAATTTTTATTTTTGAGACAGGGTCCTACTAAGTTGCCCAGGATGGGCTCCAACTCACGATCCTCCTGCCTCAATCTCCCAGAGTGCAGGGATTATAAGTAGGCACTACCAGGTTTGGCACTTATAAAGAGTTTTAAACTTTGTGGCTTATCTACATCTTGCATATGTCCAATGCACACACACACTCATTCATGCATTCCTTCAAACTTTCTGTGTGCTTGGCCTTGTGCTAGGTTCTAACCATACAATGGCAAAGTACAATCTATGATCCCCACCCACACACAGCCCAGCCCAGTGATCTCTCTCCAAAAAGCACAAGCTTGACTAAAAACAAGTACACGAGGATGACACAGCTGGGCAAGGGGGGACTCATCTAACCTGTTCTCCCAGTGCTTGAGAGGCAGATCATGAGTTCAAGGGCAGCCTGGGCTACATAGTAAGACCCTGTCTTAACAAAATACCACACAATGCAACACAATACAGAGAAAAGAGACAAGCTGGAAGGGGAAGAAGTTGATGCAGGGAGCTCTAACTTGTTTAGTGGAGGAAACCCACGGGGAAAATGTGAAAGAGTTTCTCTTGGCCCGGTCTCTGGATCATGGAGTCTTTATCAGTGAGGGGCCTTCAACAATGTGTTATGACATGCTTGATAACAAGATTTCATCTTAAACACTGAAATATGCCCTGTCCAGTGTTGAATCACAGTTATAGAAAGGCAGTCTTAGAAGAGAGGAACAGGCTGATGTGGTCCAGGTATGCATCCTTTTGATGACTTGGCCTTAGATTAGGGCAAGGAAAAAATCTGTATTTTTTCCTATGTTTTCTTCTGTTCTCTGAAGTCTCAGCTGAACTATCTAAGTATTCAGGTAAACAGCTAAGATTACAAAGAGGACAGGAACACTTTTAAGATTTCAGAAACACTTCCCATCACTTTGGCTTCCAGGATGTGAACATGCAACTCCAAAAGGCTGCAGAATGGCCCTCTCTCAGCCCACCAACCCTGCAGCGCCCACTTCTGATGGCCAGGCCTCCAGCTTTCCCAGCCCAGAGAGTAAAGTCTAACTGCAGCAACTAGACAGTGAATAAGCTGGGGACAGGGAAATAGAGAATGATGTGGGGAGAACTTCCTGGTGACATCAGTGGCTTTAGTCAGTAAATGAGAGCATTCTGAGAATGGCTGACAGAATTAACCACACCATGCTGAGGCACAGCAGGCACGATGGATGGATCCCAGGAAGGGTCATGTCACATACCAAGGTCTGGGCTCCTCAGGAACAGGGCCTGGAACAGTGGTGTGGAGCACACAGCCCTTCTCCCAAGGACAGCTCAATGGCCAGAGGACAAAAATACAGTCTAGAAGACCTCAGGGCTGGGCATGTGGCCCAGGGGGACTGCTTGCCTAGCCTGTGCCAGACCCTGGGCCCAATCCCCAGCACCAAAGTGGGGGTGAGGGGATGGACCTGGACTCAAGTCCCTTGGCTGTGATGCTCTGGGGAGGGGAAGGAAACGAGTGGGCAACTGAATGCCAGAGCTGAGGACAGCATACACCAGTCCCTACCTTCATCTATAGCTCCTGACCCCCACCAACAAAGGGGATGGCACGGGGCACTAACAATGTTGTGCCCAGCATGTGTGAGGGCTCTAGAAAGACTTCCTGGAGGAGAGGTAGGCGCAGGAGTCAGGGCAGAACCTAGTTTCTCACCCCACCCCACAGAAACAAACTCAAGTTTTTAAAGTGGAGAGGATAAGAAAGGCCCTGATGGCATGGGCTTGAATCAGGATAGTCCTGCTCTGGAGCAACAATACTCTACACAAGCATTCGGCCTTAATCCTCATGACATCCTGGTGAGCAAGCTGGGCGTGGCCACCTGGCCCAGCTCTCACATATCACCAGGCAGGAGACGACCTACTACAGGGAGGAGGGGCTGGGTCTGGGCCTGGGTCACTGAGAGGGCAGAGCAATTCTTGGGGCCTGGAGCAAGCACCTAGTGTCTGCTGAGCTCAGGAGCCAGAGCTGCAGGTCCCATGGGGTTGTAGGAAATTTGGCCTCTGCAGCTGGTCCAGGGCTAGGCTCTGAGTCCTAAGGGATCTTGGATCTGGCACTCAAGAATTCTAAGGTCCAATTCACAGGCTCTAGGAAGAAGGTCTAAAGAGACCTCTACAGATATGAGTGGGATGGACTCCTGCTGTACCTCAGTACAGAAGGTGACTCAATCTTGTGCCCCATGTGTCTAAAATACCATGTTACTTTGCAGTGAGCTAAGTAGCACAACTCCAAATGTCAGGCTTAAAGAACCAACGGCTGTCTGTTTTGTGTTCTGACCTCCTAAGAGCTTTCACCCAAGCGCTGGACTCCTTCACTGCCTAGGACCCTGCTGGCGCAAGCCAAGAGTACAATTTCTGACCATTCTGGATCCATGGACGCCTGTGAGATGATGCTGTTTCTACCTGGCACATAAAGCCGCTGAGGGTTTGGGGTTCAGTGACTTGTTTGGAAATGAATTCTGCTGTTAAATCACACATTTCTATTCCACACAGTTCTATCTATGCTTTACATGCTTTGAGATATGACTGTTAAATATAGTTCCTGTTCTACAGAAAAGCAAAATGAACGACTGTGGTAAAACTGGAAATACCTTATTCATATGAAAGTCAAAAGGCAGCTCTATTTACAAGGCAACAAACAGTCTTATGATTAATGTATGTATTTTAGGGCCTGGCACAGTGGCACACATCTATAACCCCAGCATTCTGGGAGGCTGAGGCAGGAGGATCAAGTTTCAGCCCAACCTAGACCTGTCACAAAATCAAAGTTAAAAAGAGAATGGCTGGGATACAGCTCAATGTGAAAGCCCTAGATTAAATCGTCAACATTGAAGAAAAAAATATAAACAAGGAAAGAAGAGAGATGGAGACAGAGACAGAGACAGAGCATGATAGTTTTAGAAAATTAAATTATTCTAACAATTTCAGTTAGGGTGAAACTCAGTAATAGCAATTGGCCTGAAGCCAATAACAAGAGGCCTTTGTGGGACTGGAGCCAGGATAGGGAAATTCGGACAGCACCCAGTAACACAATGTGCTTGGGATTCAGAGCTAACAAAGGGCAATCAGAACAATCTAAGAGAAGAAAGGCAATTTCTCAACCTGGATGTGTCACAGACGGTCTTGCACACGAGGAATCTGCATGGCTCATCACTCCCACATGCATCATGGGAAGTGACATGGCTTCCCCATGAATCAGAAGCTTCTGCAGCAGCCCGGAGTGGCCTCCACTGCAGTCCGCTTCAGTGAGCCTTGCCTACCAGAGCTGCCTGTGCCTTGTTCTGGCTTCCATGGTACCCTATGCTCTACTGCATCTCCTGTCTCCTGGGTGGGAGTGTCAGGATGCTTAGGGTCTACTTTCTCTAGCTCCTGCTGCTGATCAGCACATGCTGCTCTGGGGCCGACTTCAGTCTCCAACAGGTGTTGTGGGTATCACAGCGAGTGGCGTGGAGGTGGCCGCCAGTCCTGCTGCCCTCCACTGCAGGGCCACCTTGCCTCCGCCGACAGAAGCATGCGTGTGATGCCTATCTTAGTTACTTTTCTCTTGTTGATGAAGCAAAATATCTGACAGCCAAGGTTAAAGGAGGAAAGGTTTACTTAGATCACCGTTTGTAGAGGTTTCAGTCCATAGTCATCTGGCTCCAAGGCAAGGTGGTGTGGCAGAGGGACAGTGCAGAGGAGAAACAGGTCATGACGCACAGAAGGAAGCAAAGCAACAAAGGCAGGCCACAGCCCTTTTACCTTTAAGTCTTATCAGGCTACTTAGGTGCATGGCATTCATACCCTCGGTGTCCTTGAGCCGGTACTGCACCATGCATCTATCTCAGCCTCACATACTCCAGATCCCGTCACCTCCGAAAAAGCCCCACCTGTGCCTGCATGAGGCTTTGGGGGACATTTAGACACAAGCTTGTAACGTCATCTCTACTAACAATGTCCTAGTCACCACTGCGGGCTCAGGGTCCTCTCCTGAGGTCAACACTGCAGAGAACTCAAACTTAGCATGACCTCAATTGAGCCTCTTGCAATCCTTACACATGCTCTCTTCCACCCTTTTTCTGGGCTACTAATAGCCACCCCCGTGCTTCCAGACATCCAGATTAGAAACGGCAGCCATCTTCCCTTTCTGTAGGGCAGGGAGTACAGTCTGCCAGTGAGCCTCCACAATTCCTGTCACCACCCCTCACATACTCATTCTCTACAATACAGCCTAAGTGACCTTTGTGCTGAGGCCTTCTAAATCTCTCCCTTGCACTGCTTTTGGAGTGACCTTTTAACTTCAGGCTAGCTCATCTCATTCGTCCATAACCGTCTCCCATGCCTAGAGAGCAACGGTGGTAAGAATGGTGATGACGGCGTGGAGGTGAGATAATGTCTACTGGGTCTCACAGTGTGCCAGCTGCTACAGCTACTTTATATATACATTACTCAAACTTCAAGTGTATACCAACGAGGCAACTGTAACTGCGGACGTAAATTTACAGATGAGGGAACTGCTGCAAGAGTGACATTTAATGCCCTTGACAATGGAGCCTTACACTACTTTTCTTCTTGTCCATAATGTTCTTCTACTCTCCCTCTAGCAGAAGCTGCATCTGGTCTTACTGTCTAGTAAGTGGAACGGTTGGAAGACCCAGTAAAAACGCTGCCATCTGCAAACCTGCAGCCTTCCTCCACGTAGACTTAGTTGTTATTAGTGGACTATGAAAATTTACAGAGTGTCAGACATCCAAGTTATGGAAACATGGCAGAAGAAACACTTTTCTAAAGGACAGGTGCTACTAAAGTGCTCATAAATTATGTACAACTAAAAAAAGGCAAAAGAAGTTTGGAAGTCAAAGTATGTACTTATGGGGACCCACTGCAAAAAGGGGAGTCTGCCACCTCCCCTGGGCCTGGGAGTGAGAAACACACTGTGAGAGTACCTGCCCTTTCCAAACCTGAGTCCAGGAGGACATAAAAACTAAGAGGAAGAACTATTAAAATGAACTAGGAGCTGCGCATGGTGATTCAGGCCTACAATCTCAGGAATTGGGAGGCTGAAGCAGAAGGATCTCCATGAGTTCAAGACCAGCCTGAACTATACAGAGAGGCCTTGTCTTGATCCCATACCTCCCCAAAATGAACTAGGAACAGTTATTTTTTTTAACAATTACACTAACCATTTTCTGTGGAGGGGCTAGTCTAAACAGGAACACAGAAAAACTGGTAAAAAGGGAAGGTTTGGAAACCCAGAAACAGAAAATTATACTGAGGGGCAAAATATGACATTTTAACTATAAGGCAGAACCTCAAAATAGATAAAAATGTACTAATAGGCTATATTTTGCAACTATCAGGCTGCAAGGCCATTACTTCTAGAATGTTGTAAGTGACTGGAGCAAATGACCAGCCTGCTATCTCTAGTCTCAGCCACCTTATCCATAGTGCACACCCACTAGAGAAGTGGGGGGCACGCCAACTCCAGGTCAGGACGGCACATTTCTCAGACCACACATCAAAGGCACTGTTATCAGAGCCTGCTGAGAACTGGTCACACCTGCCATTCCATTCCTGCAAGAGCCGTGATAAGAGCACGGCGCATGTCAGACGCGTCAGAGGCAGTGCGGCCAGCCCGTTGGACCCCGTTTCCGCAGGAAGACAGCCACAGGCCTCGGATGGTTGGGACGGGCAGAGGAAGGGAAGGGCTGCTCACTGATCGGTTGTCCACAAACTTACTGAAACCTTTGGGGAACTCAATCTAATTCTTTAATGATTAAAATTCAATCTAATTCTTTTTCCCTCTGTTTTGAAGGTGTGGCTAAAGTGCCACCAGCTTCCTCCTGAAGGGATTATGAATCTCTCCCTTAGTGCTGATTTTCCAGAGAGCAGCTTCCATGACTACAGCACAGGGAGTGCGCACAGCTCCGGAGACACTGAGAGGTTCTGCCCCCGGCACGCACATCCCGCCCCACCAGGGCTCGCTTCCTCTCCCACCAACTCACCAGGCCTTTTTCTTCCGCTTGAGCTTGGACTCAATCATGCGAACAATGGCTTCCTCTTCATAGGTGTGGCCGCACACTTTATTTTTCACTGGCTTCTTCATTTCCAACTGTCATCAAGGAGAGTAGACTTTCAGGAGTGATAAGGATCAACTTCCAGTAGCTGTTTTTTCCTAGTCCCAGGCTATGTTTTAACTTCCCATTCTCCTGGCTTTAGATGATTAGTAGGCTTTGAATAAGGAAATGTGGGGAGACTGTGCACCAATGTCACTTGGCCCCAGGGTCATGGCTTTATTCCCAGAATCTTAAGGGTGTGTGTGACTAAGACTTCTTTCCATCTCCAAATGGCTCTCCTATACTTCTCGACTCTACCCACCCCCCAGTGTGAACTCAACTCAGAAAACAGGAAGCTTTCACCTGTGAAGGGAACTGCCTCCTCTTCCAGGGAAGGAGGAACAAACCGTACCTGTGTGATGGGGCAGATGAAGTTGGTCTGACTCTGAGTCACAATCATATCCTCATCAACTCCTTCAGTGCCATCAGCCCCTCGCTCCACCTGCACACCATCTAGGGGAAGAAAGGGAGTCATGAGGCTTGGGTCTGTCTAGCAGCAAGCCCAGGACAGGAAGGAAGGGCACCTGGGAGCCAACACTTCTCAGGGTCTGCTTCCTGGCAGCCCGTGCTAGGCACCTTAACGCATCACTCTTTTGCTTATAACAGGAATGGTAGGGAGGAGAAGAGGAAGTAAAAATGATTAAGACATGATACATATATGCATTTATTCCCCCAAATAAACGTAATTATTATGTACGTAAACACAAACTAATAAAAAATCAGAAAACAGAATTCTGCAAAGTACTTCATACTGCCCATTTTTTGTAAGAAAACAGATTCAGAGCAAAACAGGTTTTTTGAAGTTCAGAGAATTAGCTGAGCGTGGTAACACAAGCCTGTGATCCCAGCACTCAGGAGGCTGAGGCAGGAGGGTGGGCATGGGATTGAGGCCAGTGTGGGCTACGCAGTTTAAAGCCAGCTTGAACTACACAGTGAGACCCTGTCTCAAGAGACCGACCAACCAACCAACCACAGCTGAGAGAAGTAATCTGCAAGGGTGTGCTGCCTGCCAGCCCAGAGCACGCCTGCGAGTCAGTTGAGAGACCCGGGGCTAGTGGGCTGCTTTAAAGCCCCTACTTAATGGTTTTGGGGCAAAATGAAAGTGGTGAAGAACGTGGCTTCTGACTCAAGGAAACAACAGGTCCACATTCCTGGACAGGGCAGAAGCTCTCACGTTCTGGGCTGGAGCTTTGACCCTGTTGTATTTTAGATTTTATTATAGAACCAAAAAACTTTAAAATGTGGGTTATATTTATCAGTATTTACTACATTAGACATTAAGACTGAAAAATGGAAAAATGTATTTGTCTTTCTTACAGGCTTATTTACTTTTTCTGTCTTATGCTACTGAGGGTATAGAAATGAGAAGTGGCACATTTTCTTTAGCTTTAATTTTTTATTAGTGCATATTTGCCAGACATATTGATTATGTTCATCATAGATAATTTGCACCTGTATATAATATATCTTAAATCTTTTTCCCATTCTCTCCATCCTTCAACCCTTTCCCCCTTCCTTACTTAACATAAGCTTTCTTAAAGGTTTATTTTAATTCAGAAATAACAGTAGGAATACCATTCATGTTAACATAAATAATGTACAAAGCAATCTTTTAAAAAATGAAAAGAGGGGCTGGGGAAATAGCTCAGTAGAATAAGCTTGCTCAGCAAGTGCAAGAGCCTGCGTTCAATCCCCAGTTCCGCAAAAACAAAAAACAAAAAACAAAAAAACCCCCAAGAAAACCAACCAACCAAACCAACAACAACAACAACAACAACAACAACAACAACAACAACAAAAAACCCATAAAAAAGAGTGTTATTGTTTTCCATTTTTGTAAATTTATATATACATATTTTTGTTCTTGTTGTTTTGAGACTGGGTCTTGCTATGCAGTTCCGGATGGCCTTGAGCTCATTTTGTAGCCCAGACTGGTCTTGGAACTCACAAAGATCCTCCTGCCTCAGCCTCCTGAGTGCTGGGATTACAGGCATGCATGACTGGCTTTTGTAAGTACCTTTAATGTCTGTTTTAACCAGCGTTGTTTTTTGCTATCTACGAATGAATGTATTCAATCTGTCACAATATCACATCGTGGAGCTCCTGGAGAAATGCCCTCACGAACAAGTCAAGACAGGCAAATGATGTCACACTGTTCCGCTGCCATGAAAGCAATTCTGACCTGATGCACACCCTGCAGGACTCTTGCAATCCCAGAGGTCCCGGGCCCACACTTTGAGAACTACGGAGCAATGCGTGGTAGGACTGGTTCTAAACAGCACTGTCTGCTTCTAAATTCCCCTCCCCTTTTTCCTTTTCATTGTATACTTGTCCCTCACTAAAGAGAAAAATACACAGCAGACGATTTTGATGGGTATTATGGGACTGACTATGTCACACAGAAGCCTCTCTGAGGTTGAGCATCTCTAGTCTAACAATCTGAAATCCAAAATCTATAGATTTTTGACCACCAACATGATACAACAGGTAGAAAGTTCCACTGAAGCAACAAGCAAACATTACTTAAAATATTGTATAAAATTATCTTCCGGTATGTTTATGTGTAAGTCTATATGTATGAGGTGTGCATATGAGTGATTCTTTTCTGCTTAGACTTGGGTTCCAGCCAAGATATCTCATTATGCACATGTGAATACTCCAGAATAAACAAAGAAACCCCAATTCAACACACTTCTGTTTCCAGGCCCTTTGGATAAGGCTTGCTAGAGGATACACACTCAATCTGTCCTCACCACTTGGTGATACCTTCCTTCCTTTTTCCTCTCCCTTTCTCCTTCTTATTCTTTTCTTTCCTCCCTTCTTTCTTTCATTTGGCGGAGTAATACAGATACGAAGCTGCTTTCCTTTTAAAGTGTGGGAAGGAAGTCATTGTCTCTGGTGCAGATGCTTTTGCAAGACTCTCAGCCTCACAGAACCGACCCTGTGCCTCCTCCGCCAGGTCAAGCGAATGTGCAGAAGCAGAGCCACTGAGGGCCTGCTGAAGCTACACCCATCAATCAAGGATACAGCTGGAGGTTCTGTTCACAGATCCTCTGCCTGTGTAGAGGATTCCCCTTCTTTTAGTTCGCTACTGGCGCTACTGGAGTGCCAGCTTCTGGCCCTCAAACCAGTTCTCACTCCCAAAAGAAGGGAAGAATGAACATCGCAGGCACGGGAGTCCCAGGCAGAGCACCCTAACCCTGCGTGTTCGTGCTCAGTGCCTGGGGCTGGGCAGCTTTTGAGGATCTATGAGAAAATATGAGATCTGGGAAGTTGAACACCCCAATCCAAAAATTGAAAATCTGAAATGTTTTGAATACTAACGTGATTACCTGAAAGCTTTAGATTTTGGAGCATTTGGGATCTTGAATTTCTGGATTAGGGATGTTCAACTGGTAAAACCTACACAAAGTATGAAATCTGAACCACTTTTAGTTCCAAGCATTTTGTGTAAGGGATACTCAATTTGTATTGGCTTCAAAACTAAAACTAAAATGAATAAATATTAAAAATACATAAAATCTATGATTTGGTTAAATTTATCAATTCTTGTTTTGGTAATCAAAAACATTTCATATAGAAGCAATATGTAGGCTGGGTTTTTTCTTTAACTTAGTAAAAATTCCCAGATGTGGTAAGGTAATTATTGATAAAATAGTACAGTTATAACTTACACCATTTCCTGGTAGACAAGCTATTTCCAAAGTAAAATTGTAGAAGATATTTTAAAAACCACCTGTCAGCAGTAACACCTCACACCGAGGCTGGGCATGGTGGCATATGCCTGTAATCCCAGCACTTGAGAAGCTGAGTTAGGAGGATCGCTGCAAGTTTGAAGCCAGCCTAAACTACACAGGGAAACCCTATCTCAAAAAGACAAAAGAGGGCTGGGGAGACAGCTCAGTGGTCTAAGCACCTGTCTGGCAAGTACAAGGACCCGGGTTTGATCCCTGGTACCTGATGCCATGCTGGCCCAGAGCACCAAGCAGGCCACTGAAACCAGGTGTTGGTGGTGCATGCCTGTAATCTCAGTGTTGGGGAGGCTGAGACAGGAGGAGTACGAGCTGCATAGCAAAATCCTATACCAAATAAATAAAAGATTAAAAAAAAAATTTAAAGCCATAAAACCCCCAACACTGATCATGGAGTGACCTGCCACTTTCGTTTGTTAGCTATGATGTGGGGGTTGGAATCCCTGGAAATATTACTCATACCAATGAAGGGCTTTCAGACTTTCTGAAGCTGTGTTGGGTATTCAAATGTAAGAGTTAGACTTCTAAAAAAGTTCTTTTATCAAATCAGTGGTTTAGAAAAGTTGGGCAGGAGTACTGGAGAGACAGCTCAGCACACTAAGCACCGACTTAGGCAATCACAGGGACCGAGGCTTGATCCCCAGCACCACATGCTGCGCTGGCCACCAAGGCTGGATGTAGTGGGGCACGCCTGCAATCCCAGCACTGGGGAGGCTGAAAACAGGAGGATCACTATGGGCCCAAGCTGTATGGTAAGACCCTGCACCAAACACATTAAATAATAATAATAATAATAATAATAATAATAAAGAAAAGTTGGACAGGAAAGGCGAAAGGCCAAGGAACAGGCTGTGGGCCATTCTGTGTCTTAGACTCACTTTTCAAAGCCTCCTCCTTGGATTGCTACCTCCTATTTTTGACTGTGTATTTCAAAGTTGAAATAAATGTAGCTCTTTGTCAGTTTCTTACAGGGTTTATTCTGAACTGATGGCAGATTTCTGACTATAAATGTTACACCATGGAATTCACCGGAAAATCTGTTAGATGTATAATAAGAGTTCAGCTGATGTGAAAGACTGTGGGTTTGCTGGTTATTTTCTATATTTAAATATCAAATGGTTAGAGGAAGCATGAAAGCACAACTCAAATGCAATGTCTATGACTAGGGAAGGCTGAGTGGGGAATTCTGACATGGCAGGTGATGACCGGCAGCAGAGACTCGAAATAAGGTAACAAAAGTGAGACACAGGAAGAACGCCAATGGTGAGTAATAGCCCTCAGACTGAGAGTCTAAAAAGAGAAAGATATTCAATAGCTACACTTCTCTAGAGGCAGGATATTTCCTCATCCTCAATCTATATTTATAGAAAGTGATATTAACATTGGGATTCTACCCTGCGTTAACAAAAGGTCACATCTGGCAATAAATATCACAGTGATTTAGTTGACCCAAAGACAAAACTTTGTCATTAGCCTCGCAATAGGAAGGCTGGAAAGAAAACACGCATTATCCTCTGCAATCACAGGAGTTTTAAAACTGAGGTTACCTACCATCAGACTCTTGTTTGAGAAAACTGAGACGCAAAGAAACTAGGTTTTGCCCAAAGTCATGGAAGGAATTTAAATAAATGTGCTTCTCTGTGTTCTTGGACTAGTTTGTCTGAACACTAAACTTGTTATATTGGTTCTGAGTTTTCCCTT